CAACACGTCGGTGTTTATCACAGCGGTCGTTCCGATTTGCCGATCGAAGAGAAGCGGCCATCCGTGTCGGATCTGATGAAGGTGTCTGGTATTGGAGTGGAACGTGAACATGTGTTTCCGCAAGAAGAGCATGTCTGGCCGTCCGATAAACGTCTTGCTGAGAGTGTGCGAAAACCGCGGGCTGTTGGTGTTGCTATATCGGATGCTGCTCAGGCGATCAGCGCACGTTTGACGGGTTTGTTTCGACATGAAGCTGCTCAGATTGATTTTCCTACTTCAAGTGTTTACTGTGGCCCTCTAATGTCCACTGCTTATTGTCCCGATATGGAGCACGTCCCCATTCAGTGCGCTGTGAGCGTTTATCACTGTGGGCGGTCTGATTTGTTGCCTGGTGAAATGCCTTTGGTTCTTCGTGATGAGCGTGTTTTCCAGCGTGATGAGGTGGAGCAAAAGCCGCTGATGAGGACCGATGTGTCATACGAACGCGGAACTGTGCCGGAACCGTTACCTTCTGCGGTGACTCTCAAACCACCGTCCCAGCGAACTGTTGATCTGGATATTTCAATCAGCGCCACTAGTCCTACTACTCGACCTGTACCTGTTGGTATCGCTCGTCCGGTTCCAAAGGTTCCAGAACAACCTTCGGTGGAAATAAAACATTTTGAACAGGTATCTGTGTCTGCAGCACCACCTCTGTCTGATTTCGATTATCGTCGTAAGACTCGCGAAGTGGATTACTGGATTGGAAGACATCTGGAACGTCAGCCGAAGCCACCTCGTGATTTGACCGCCGACATTGGCATCGATGTTGCGTCAAGCGATGATAGTTGGGAGAAGCAAGCTGATTTCGATACGTTGCAACCGCGTGTTCGACCCACACGGCGCGATATTCCACCACAATACGAAAAACCGAGCGCGCGAGGCGCTTCGCCGACCGCCAACCTGCACTGGACAACGGTCAGTGAAACAACATCAGTTTCCTACAGGAAACGCATCTCTATTGAGCGCCGTCGACCACGCCCGATTTCGCCAGGAACCCGGCGACGCCAGTATCAGCCGCCACCACCACCTCCAGAGGTTTTGGCAACTGCGCGTCGTAATTGGACAACATTTGAAAGCAACTCGATGCCTGGCGCTTACTCCGGCGTAGCGGTCACAGGTGATGTCCGGTCACAGAGTGTTCGATATGAAACCTCATCGCTTCCGTCCAGCTACTACATCAGCACAGAGTCAAGAGTAAGTTTTGATGTTTTCATATTGTAAAAGACTTGGAGTTCAAAATAAAACCTTAAAGTATTTAAATGTACTGTTGTTAGACCTGGTTCCTGTCGATCCACCTCTCGCACAATTCATTTGTTTCAGGACAAACTCACGTGCGTAACATAAAGCTTGGACCTCTGCTGCACGTTTTCATATATTTTTACTATGTCTCTTTTTTTGTGTGATTTATAGTCATGGTCAAACCTACGTGGGAATGCAAAAAAAAAAGACCAGTATATGCTTGAAAGGGGTTATATGCTGAAGTTTTACAAATCGCGGTGTGTATGATGCAGCACAAAAGCGAGCATTATCAATTACATTAGTAATCACAAGACCGAAGTGAGAAGGAATGAGCTTCTTAAACAGAAAACGTAATGCTTGAAAATTTTTGCGGGCTTCAAATCTGAGGAAGATTAAGCTTATCGAAAAAATGAACCGGATTCGGCATAGCAAATTGTGAAGTCGATTCCTGGATTAGCTGATACGTTTAAAGAAATCCCCATTGAGCTGCCACACAGTGCAGTGCTTTCTAGGACCTTATGCCAGTGTTCCTGGTCATGCCAGTGCTTTATGCCGACATGATTCCTATCATGCTAGCTACGACAGTACTAATTTAACTATTGGACGTATCAACATATCGTGCAGGGTTAATTTTTACAATGGCCAATCTTAAGCTTGAAGCTAAAAGCATGCTTCACTCGCTGTTAAATCATATTCTTCATCCAGTACACAATTCTACATCACGAGAATGTAAACGACCATTCGAGCGATCCCGAAAGCGGCGCAAGTACGCCAAAAAGGTGACAGGTACTAACTGGAGGTGTACAGCACAGGCTCGAAGGGCCTGACATGAGTTGTATCCGGCTTGTGGACAAGAGATACCCAAACTGTTAGCCTGGGTGACTGTGGCATTATTCGTAATGCTGCTGCGTTTCAGATGCAACGTAACCCGGTACGTTACGACCTGCCGCGTCCTTCATCACCACCACGTTACGATTACTGGGCGGCCGAGCGAATGAAGTGGAAAGTGGAAGGTTCACCAAGGCGAATGTATTCTTCCGAACAAGAACTCAACGGTCACATACCTCCCGAGAGCCCGTACACAAGACGTACGTCTTTTGCTACCACCCCACTGGCACCAAAAAAAAACGCATGTTCGAACCAGTCCGCTAGGCGCAACGCTATTCATCATATTAGCAACCTCGAGCTTTCTTTAACATGCTACAGTTACAAGAAATCTCATGTTGGCATTTCTGTTAGAGCCCTTTCCTCACCTACTCACCATAGTACTTATTGTAGTCCGGTCTCGCAGCCCCACGTCATCGTCCAAACCCTTCATGCCTTTTCCTTAGTAACCTACATCTTTTGCAAACAAATTCTCACCACCACCACTGTGTTGTGGAGCAAGACCAGCCGATGACCAATTGTTTATTACTGAAACTGATAAACAGTCGCTGCTGGGTGCACAGAAGATAGAGCGGGCACAATGCCAGCGCTACACAACACACGATAATACAAAAAAATCACAACACTGCTACAACAGTTTCAAATTTTCACGGTATCACGAAATTGCTTGTATCTCCGTGTATGCAGTGAGATTGATGTAGTGCCTAAAAAGTCTTCAGCGAGAACATGAGAGTAATCATTTGTGCGACGCTTACTGAGTTAATTCGAAGACGAGTGCAAGAAGCAAAGTGCTACCCATCTTAGTATCATTATAGACAGATCGTCATTCTTTCAGCTTCCCGGCGCTTCTAAACCGATTGTAGACGTAATGATAATAAAATAATAACAAAAATAATGGCATTGATAATAAATAACAGTAGTAATAATAACAATAATGATTATTATTATGCTGGTGATAGTAATAATAATAATAGTAATAATAATAATAGTAATAA